AGCCCCTCCCCCAGAATTAAACCACAGATGAAACCAGAGAATAAGTAATAAAATAACTATAAATCAAAGGATCCCTTAAAAGTCTTTTTAATAATTTCCTGCAGTCTAATAAGGTATTTTTTTATGATAGACAAGGCTAACAAAGTAGTTTCCTAAAATAAGTCCACTTCAAGCCCTCATTAAAAGAATTAGCTTATTCTGGCAAATCAGCTTCAGATACCTTTTAGATGCAGCAAATCTAAAACAATTTTCAAATCTTTATGGCTGACCCAGTGTAGAGGGAAACTACATGAGTTTTTGGTTGTTAATCTTCATATAAACTATCAGTATATTGGCTTTCTGAGTGAACACAGCTATCTTTCTTGCCTCTCTCTCTTGCTGCATATTAAGGAGGAACTTGGTTATTTTGGAATGCCAAGTCTAGATGCTATGAGTTGGCCAGAATAGTTGACTATCTTTTTTTGGTCAACCTGGGGTTGCAGTCAGCCTGGCAAGCTCCATTACTCACCCAGCAGCAGATGGTGACTGTCAAGGGATGCTGGGAGGGGAGGAGCCGGGTGGTTGCCTCGGTGATTTCTGTATCTCCACAGCAACGGAAAGGTCACCCAGAAGGCCCCTCATGCTCTCCTTTTCTGTATGAAGCTCAGAGATCTGTTGAAACATGAGTTAGGGGTATGGCTGTAATTAAGGCTCTGCTGGGGTGAGGCAGTATACAGTGGGTGAATGGGGTTTATATGTGAGTTTTCAAGCTAAGTGGAATTTATTTTGGGGACGCCACTCCAGAACTCTTCTGAATGTTATATATTGGAGTTATGCTTCATGCAAGTAAAATGAAGACTGAATTCACACTGCTTTATCCTCACACTGAGAATAATCTATTTTTTTTAAAATTTGATTTATATGCCGCCCTTCTCCAGAGACTCAGGGCGGCTTACAGTGCGTTAAGCAATAGCCTTCATACTTTTGTATATTTATACAAAGTCAGCTTATTGCCCCCACAATCTGGGTCCTCATTTTACCTACCTTAGAAAGGATGGAAGGCTGAGTCAACCTTGAGCCTGGCGAGATTCGATCTTACTTTAATTGCAGACAGCTGGTGTTAAATTACAATGCTCTGTCTGTTGAGCTATCCATATTATCCATATGTCTTGTGTCAAAATACAGGTAGTCCTCAACTTACGACCACAGTTGACCCCAAAATTTACGCTGCTAAGCGAGACAGTTAAGTGAGTTTTGCCCCATTTTATGACATTTCTTGCCACAGTGGTAAAGTAAATCACTGCAGTCGTTAAGTTAGTAACACCGTTGTTGTTAAGTGAGTCCAGTTTGATCCCGATTGATTTTGCTTGTCAGAAAGTTGCAAAAGGTGATCGCATAACCCCGGGACACTGCAGCCATTGTAAATATGAGTCAGTTGCCAAGCATCTGAATTTTGATCACATGACCATGGGGATGCTGCAACGCCCATCAGTCCTTTTTTTCAGTGCTGTTGTAACTTTGAACTGTCACTAAACAAACTGTAAATTCAGGACTACCTGTACATGCAAAACTAACTTATCTTGGATTTTGTAAGTTTCTGAATCTGTATCGTTCAAAGCTACTGTTCTGTCTGATACATAGCAGCCTCCATTTTATCACAAGAGCATTCCTATATACATGTTGATTGGGTTGTGTAAAATTGGGTGAATATGAATTACAGTTTTGCTCAGTTTTTCCAGTCCGAAATTTGTTTCAACCTGTAATCCATGTCATTTTATTATTTAAAAAATACACAAATATTGTGTTAATGTTTATGTACATTTCTCATCATGCGTTTAGTATACTGTACTTGTATGTGTATTATGCACAAGTGATTTTTTTACATATATGGGTTTGTCTGCATTTTGTCTCTAAATTCATGCTTCTTTATACACATTTTGTTCTGTCATATGATTTTGAAAAAAAAAGTGGATTTTGGCATTAGACTGTATATTTGTTTGGATTAAATAGCACTGAATGCAATCCAAATTTCTTGGTTTCCAGAGCAACTGCTATCGAGCAACTATATCTTAATTGTAAAGAAGTATATATCTCAGGAATGAGTAGTGTGGGCCACTCCAGCTGTTTTCTTCATATCATTGCTGGGAAAGTGACCAAAAAGAGTCTTTGAAATGCCAGGAATAAATATGCAATTATAGCATGATTGATCAATTGATTATATGCCATCAAGTTGGTAACAATTCTTAGTGGTCCTATAGATTTTGTCCGTGAAGATCAGTCCCGAATCTGGTTCTTCAAGTCTTCCAATGGTGCATCCATTGCAGCTGAATTAAGTTCATCCACGTTGCTATTTATCATCTTTTTTCTTTTTCCTTCTACCTTTCCCAGCATTATAGATCTAACAAGAGAGCTAGATATTCACAGAATTTATGCAATACTTTATTATTATTGTATAATAATTTATACAATAATTTAAGCTTATGCATACCTTGGACAACAACTGTGAGTTAATTTATATAAAGATGCATTTCTTTATTTTCTTGACTATGCATGGAATTCTCAGGAATCTTCTCAAAAACCAGTTTAAAAACATATATATTGTTTCTGTCTTGCTTTTTGAAATTCAACTTTCACAGAGCATCACAAAGAAAGCCATTGCCTGCATGATTCACTGCCCCCCTCCCCCGTATAGACACATCATGGTATCTGAATATAATTTCTAAGTCCCTCTTTGCTTCCTATACTGAGTGCTAGTCTGCAATTTTTCTATTGCAGATAATTGATATTAAAAGGCAGAAGCTATCCATCACTTTAGTATCTTCATTGCCAGGTGAAGATTTGAAAGGTGATTTGCTGTACCTGTTGTTAGTTTGGTCTTTATCTTTAATCTTAATCCCATATTTTTCACTGTGCTCCTTGACTTTTATATAAAGTCATAGTGCGTAAAATTCCATGTCTTGGCCTGATTTTTGATCTGGTAGTTTTTAGTTGTTTCTTAGTCACTTTTATTGTGGTGATGTTTCTGCAGTTGTCAGCTAAGCATTCCCAACATTAATTAAATAATCAGTACCAACGGCTATACCTGAATGGAGAAAATGAGGTGCTGCAACATGTGTGATATAGACATGATGGCACCTGCCATGTATAGAACTGGTCTTTCTTGCTTACCAAGAGCTGTTAATGTTTTGGCATGTTGCTTCTTCTAGAAGAACAAAGGCAAGCTCTGGCTTTGTTCTGCTGATTTAAATGAGGGAAAAGGGAATGAGTGGAAAAACACCCATAAAAATGGAATGGGAAGGGAGAGAAACTGGAATCTTTGACAATGAAATGCATTGATTATAGAGGAAATTGATGAGCAGCACATGGAGCCCTCTAGTGACATTTGTTGGCTGGCTAAGAGAATATATCTAGAATCGCACTGCTCTTTTAAAGGATAATCCACCAATTGCTTTTGTTATGTTTAAATGTCATCTACCTCAGTCCCCATGTGCTTTTCTGAAATTGACATAGTTTAGGAAAAAGCCATAACAGTTTCAGCATTGGTTATTGAAACATGGACTAAAAACCCAACCGCAAAACATCTCTTCCTTAGAAGAACATGGTGGTTATAGGCAATAGAAATGAATGAATGTGACTTGATGAAATAATCAAATCTGCAGTGGATTACTGTTTCCTATTTTTGTGAAGTTGCCAATCCTTGAGGTCTGTAATTATAGAATATTCTATTCTATCATGTTGATCTAGAGGATAGGATCAATAGTAGCATTTTGGAACTGAAGCCTTATATAATATGTTCCATATAAGTTTGCATTGACAGGAATTCTCAAATCCAGGGTAAGCGCCTTATAGTATATACTTTCCTTTTCTTCAATAAAAGAACATTCATTTAAACCGTATTTAGGATTCTTGGAGTCACTAACCAATGGTTCATCCAACAGTGGTATTAATCTGCCTTTCATTGAGGGAAGATATTGTTCTGTAATGATCTTGAAGCTTATCTCTGTTAAATGCTTTGATGGTACCAAATCATGTGCCCATAAACAACTTCAGAAAGGTTAGAATATGAAAATAGACTCTACACTGAAGATTTTCATCATTGTGCTTAAGCTGCAATTGTCAGCAAGCAGGTCTTGTAATCTTGTGCAGAATGAAATACCATCTACAAGCTCGGAACAATCCAAGTAGTTAGAGTACAGTAATCATATATACAAATTGGATTATACATATGAGAGAGTTTTCCAACATTGAGAGTACTAAAAGCTGCAATTTTTATGTGTCACTAAGATCACCAAAAGGATCTAGGCAACCTTTCTTGTATATGTATCAGTGTGGTATCTGAAATACATAAACTTATAATTCTGAAACACTCATTTGTCTCAGATAGTATGGATTATGTATTAAATTCTTTTGTCATCATTTACTTCTAGTTCTTTTGCTTATTTTTTGAGGAAACTAGTGTCTCTTAATGATCTTCCAGAAGACATTATTCTGGTAATTGTGGATGTATACATCAATAACACACAGAAACTGGTGTATATTGCCACAAATATTATCCTACATAATGCTAATTGGTTGCTTAGTTTTGTTAGTTGGTTTCATTGATTTGAAATCCAACATGTCTCTGATATATTATTACTTTTGATTTGTACTGTCTTAACAAAAATCAAAATCTTTTATCTACAGTAGGTTTGGCTGAGTAGAAAAAAATAATGCTGCTTATTAATTGTAGATATTAGTTATAATTCCTACAAGAATTATCAAGGCTGTAGAGGAAAATGCTTCCTTTAAATATTAGATATTTCTCTACTACTGATCTCCTTACATGTAGCCGTTTGAAATGACAGCAGTGGGCTACCTTAGTGAGTTTAACTACTTCTGTTAGGAACTTGAAGACATGAAACAGACCTAGTGTACTGCAGGGTGAATCTTAGAGTGTCTGTAACATCATAATGATATTCTACAAATGTTTTGTTTTTTCTAAGTAGCATTCATTAATCTATGGCCTTTTTTTCCTCCCTCAGGCTGTTCCTCTAAGTCATTCAAGCTGTACTCTCCAAAGGAGCCCCCAAACGGCAACGCCTTCACCCCCTTTCACTCAGGCACTATGCTGGATCGAGATGTGGGGTAAGTGAAAAGCTCTATAGTCCAAAATTGGGATGTTCTTGATCAAAACCAATAAAATCTCAAACCTGCTTCTTCTATTCAGCTGTGAGGCATAACCTTTATAGCCAGTGAAGGGTCTTTAAATTCCAGATCAGAAGTAATGAAAGAAATGGGTTCTGACATCCGACAAAGATCATTCATGAGCTATATGTACTTTTTAGCCAACCTGGATATGGCCTGCAAGCTCTCTGCCCAGCTAACCAGTCACTGTCAACCTAATTAATGTAATTTGTGGGAAGCATCCCAACATTGATTACTTTGGAAGTGAGGTGGACATTAGGACTGCTAAAATGCAGGAAATAAAACTCTAAAGATACTGTTTTCTTCCCATGTTGAATCAAAATCAAATACAAAACATTACCTCCTTTATTCATATTTAATTTATATTTTTATGTTTTTTCAACTGGCAAAGTGAGTGTGATTTGTTTTTGAAGTTAAAATTAGAGAAACAACCTGAAAAAAAAGATTCTATCCAGGATACAAAGCAGCTTTTTTCCCCCAAGATCCATTCTTGATTGGAAAGAGGATAGGCCAACACTTATTAATCATGCAGAGACACTGATGATACTAGTTTGTGCTGATAATAAACTTGTGATTATTTATATTCTCCTGGCATGCTAGTGTTCTTAGGAGCACAGTTTAAGTATCACTCTGGAGCAACGTGTTTCAAGTGGTAGGAAGTTCCAGGTCAGTTAATGTGTGATTGTTGGAAAATGAGTCCACTTATTCAATGATACCCTGACCTATAACATACTGCTCTTCAATGATGAGGAACCTGAAGATAGATGTGAGTCTTAAAATAGAGAAAACTTTCTTGCAGGGATTTTGGACAGAGATGCATAGTTCTTATAGCAGAGTTAACAACCTGAATATGATGTAGGCCATGAGAACTACCTGCATGTAAAAAGGAAAAGGAAGTATGAGAATCAAAACTGCCAAGCAGCTTCTTGCCAGACAAAACATGTTATCAAACTCCTTGACAGAGCAAGGGGATCTCCATGGAATAGGAATGGTCAGATTCATAAGGCTTGGATAACCAGTTTCTCCTGGCTCAGTCTCCTGTGGAAGGGTTGCAGTTTCCCTTTGGTATGGTTCTCCGTTGTGCTGATTGGATAATACAATTCATGGGTTGTTCTTCTACTTCCTTGCTTGAAGCTGAGTCAAAAGTCAAAACTGATTTTTAGGGTTTTTTACCCCCTTTTTAAAAGATGCCAAAATACAAGAAAAAGCACAAAGAAGTATTCTCCACAGATGTTCACTAAGATGCAGCGCTGTTAAATCACTTCAAATATTCCAAGACAAACTTCCTTTAATTATATTTTTACTGTACATCAATGATTCTCCAGTGGGAACTTTGATGCAATACTTTTGGTTGTGAATTTTGCCAGTAATAAATAGTCAAACTGATCTCTAATTGGGGTTGTAGTTTAAACCCTTCATCCAGTCTGATGTATATGTGTTTGAGTACAGTGTGAATTATCTACAGCACTCAGTATATTATAAGTTATGGTGATCATAATACTACCCCATAATAATAATACTTCAATAACTGGAACCGGTGATTGACTTCCGGTTGGTGACCCGCGGCGATATGGCGTTGAGTGAGTAACTGCTGCTCCTCAATACCATCAGTCACCGTGTTTTGGGGACCCCCTGAGGGGCGTGGAGCCCGGAGAGCCCCACGGACGAGAGAGCGAGCCGGGTGAGCGTGAAAGCGGGCGCAAAACGCTGATCGCAAGACCGGGCGGCTCTGTCTAACCCAGCACGCGTGAGTCGGCCAAACTAATGGCTGACGCGAAGCTGTGGTAACCAGCAACCAGATGGAAGCAAGGGAGATCGGATGCTGCAGTGTGGATCGATACACACCTTTTCTGCATTGAGGAGAGAGGACATCAGGAAAGGGGTCGGCGAAATCGGGCGGGAGAGCCTTACAGATGAGAAAAGCGGCGATTGAAAGCTTCCTGTGTATTCCGGCAGAGAGAGAGCCCGACAAGCCGGCATCGAAATAAGAAAGAAAATTGTACTGACAGTGTGCGTGCCAGAGAGGATCGGTGAGAAAATTTAAGACCAGCACTTATTTCCTTTTTTTACTGTGAACACAAGCAGACCCAGCGGAGGCTGAAATTGGGTGGATCGAGTTTGGCTTTCTTTTTTGCACTGAACAGGAAGCTCAGCCATTAGAGTGACTTGACGGAGGAATAGCCTGCCCAGTGGTGGACAGTTTGGCAGCAAGAATACGATAGAGTGCTGAACCTGGAGGACTTATAGAAGATCAGAGACTGGGCAAAAAAGACTATATCCCAAAAAGGAATAATAAGTATATATATATATATATATATAAAAAAAAAAAAAAATTAAATTAACAACAACACTTGAACCTTTAGATAATTTGTCTTCAGTATCCTGATTATTAGATCTGTAAATACTTTGATAAATTGACTTCTTCTTTTTTTTTTTTTTTCTTCTTGACTAGATAATATAATACACTCTTAAGTTTTGATATTTTAAATCTTTCTATATATATATTTAATTGTTTAGCATTTATAGTATTTACCAGTATTTTTATAGTATCTAAAATTATAATTATATAATTATAATCGTATTTAAAATTAAGTATTCAAAATTTCTATTTATAGTATTTATAGTACTTTAAGTATTTAAAAAGTATAATATTGAGTCAAATTAATTGCTTTATTGATATATTGATTGTGAACTGCTGATTAATTGATATTTTGATTTGTATAGTACTGAACTGTTTAACTTATATTTACTAAGCCAATTTAACATCAAATATATTTAAATAACATTCTGAGTACAAGATATTGTGAGGAAGAGATTAGAATCATCGTATAGATATTGATATTGACTGCCCACCGGAAAACTAGCTATACCTGTTTACAAATTTAGAAGGGAAAATTAGATATAGTAATATAGATATATAAATATATATTTATATATATATATATAAAAAAAAAAAGATAATAGAGGCGCTAAGTGGCGAATGAGAATTTGGAGTAACATCGACAGGATAATTAAAGAGCAAAAGAAAATCTTAAAAGAAATGACAAGCATGGCATCCACTGTGGGGAAAACAGGAAAAAAGACTCCCTCTAACCCCACTATAGCGACAACCTCTCCGGCGACACAAAAATCAACAGAAAGCCTGGCAATGCAAACTCTGCAAGCATCATTAACCCTAATTCAAGAAACAATGATGGCAATGCAGGAAAAATTATTAAATAACCATGTCGAATTAAAATCAGATATACATGCATTGGACCAGAAAATGAATGATATCCAAACATCAATAGTTAATAATGAACTACGAATCCAAAAAGCCGAAACAAGAATAGACCAAACTGAAAAGAAATTAGACATTGTGGATCAAGCACTAACCAGTCAAAATAAAGAGATAGAAGATACAATAATCCAATTGGAGATGGACCGGGCTTCCTTTTATTTGCGATTTCAGAATGTTGTTGAGGACAAAGAGGAAGACCTAGGAGAAAAAATGGCGGAGCTGATAGCCGATGCACTTCACCAAGACAAACAGGCAATAATTAGGGAGCTGGACGACGTATATAGGGTCCAGACTAACTATGCAAGAAGGAACAAGCTTCCTAGAGAAGTTCATATCCGCTTCGCACGGAAAAAAGTTAAAGATACTCTTTATAATATGGCAAGAGACGAACAGATTACATATCGAGGAAAAGAAATAATAATCCTAAAACAGATACCAAGAAGAGTCCGGGAGATGAGGAAGGGATATAGATTTTTGGCTATACAGTTGAACAAAAGAAAGATACTATTCAGGTGGCTTCTCCCAGAAGGGATGCTAATAACCTGGCAAGGAAGAAAAATTAAAATAGAAAATCTGAGTACAGCACAAGACTTCCTTGACCAGCTAAGAGGCGCGGAAGAAGAGCAGGGGAGTAAGGAAGATCTAGAAATAGCAGCAGTGGAGGAGGAAGCCCTACATCAACAGAACACGAACGAGGCAACTGTAGAGGAGAAGACAGAAGAAGAAGGAGAAGCCAAAGAGAAGAAAGCGAGACCAGTAAGGGCCGTAAGAAATAAACAAGAACCAGTAATCAGATAGGGGTTTAGAGATGAATGGCTTGAAGTTAATATCCGTAAATGTCAATGGACTAAATGATTATAAAAAGAGGAAAAGAATATTAACAAAACTAGGTAAACAAAATGTTGATATAATGTGTTTACAAGAGGTGCACATAAAAAAAGAAGAAAGTAAATGTTTAGAATATAAAAAATTTGGTCAAACATTTGATTCGCTGGCAGAGAAAAAGAAGAGGGGGGTGGCTATCTACGTAAAAAAAGGAATTGAAGCAGAATTGAAATTTAAAGATACAAAGGGTAGGATCCTTATGATTGAAGTTAAGAGAGGGAATTCCAAGGTATTATTAGTGGGCATTTATGCCCCGAATAAAAAACAGGGAGAATTCTTTAAGAAACTGCATGAACAATTAGTGAAAATGGCATATACTGAAATCTGTATGATAGGGGATTTTAACGGCATTGTAGATCCGGAGAAGGACCATAAGAGCAATAAAGTTAAAAAAAATAAAAGGACAAACTTACCGAGAGCATTTTTTGAGTTAGTCGATGAATTAGATCTAATTGATATTTGGCGTACCCTGCACCCAAATGACAGGCAATATACCTTCTTTTCAAATGCACAAAAGTCGTGGTCCAGAATTGACATGGCATGGGCCAGTAGAAATTTGGGGTTGGAAATTGAAACTGCAGTAATTAACCCAAACGATTGGGCTGATCATAATCCATTAGAAATCAGATGGAAGTCTCTCCAGAGAAAATACCAACGGAGGTGGAGGTTTAATGCTAAATTACTGGGCGACAAAGACTGTATACAAAAATTTAAAGAAGAAATAAATTTCTTTTTCAAGGAAAATGAAAACAAAGGCACATCCCGCGCAATAGTTTGGGACACAATGAAGGCCTATCTGAGAGGAGTCGTGATTTCATATATTGCACATAAAAATAAAGAAGAAAGGAAGATCCTGGAAGAGTACTTAAATCATATAGGAGAATCAGAAAGAAAACTCCAAGATAATCCAGAAGATGAAGCAGCCAAAGAAAATTGGATGATGTGGAAGCATAAAGTAAACATCATGGAGCAAGAAGAGTTGGCACAAAGAATGAAAAGAACGAAACAATATCTTTTTGAGAATACCAACAAATCGGGGAGGTGGTTGGCCTATAAATTAAAAAAGGAAAATGAAAGGGGAATAATTCATACTTTAGTAGACTCTAAGGGCAAATTATTGATTACCGAGGAAGAAAAACGGGATAGGGTGAGAGAATATTACGAATCCCTATATAAAGAAGAGGAGATATCGGATGACAAAATAGAACAATACTTGATAAAAGCAGAGCTCCCACAAATAACTGATGATGAGAAAGAAATGCTTAACAGAAAGATCACAATTGAAGAATTAAAAATAGCCCTTTCCAAATTGAAAAATAATAAAGCGCCAGGACCTGACGGATTTCCAGGGGAAATATATAAAAAATTAGAAGAAATACTCCAACCGAAATTAGTAGAAATTTTTAATGATGCACTGTTAGACCACAAAATTCCAGAGTCATGGAAAGAGGCGCATGTCACACTTGTGCCGAAAGAAGGTGCCGACCCAAAACAAATTCAAAATTACAGACCAATCTCGCTCCTAAATACGGACTACAAATTATTCATGGGCATAATGGCCGAAAGAATGAAAAAGATTTTAAATAATTGGATATATAAAGACCAGAATGGATTTTTACCGGGGAGACAAATTAGGGATAATATGAGAATTGTACTAGACACGCTAGAGTATTATGAGGAACACCCTGAAAAACAGATGGCTCTGATTTTTGTCGATGCTCAAAAGGCATTTGACAATCTAAATTGGAAATTCATGAATAAACAAATTGAGATGATGAAATTTGGAACAAATTTTGAAATGATGATTAAATCCATTTATAATAACCAAAAGGCGAGTATCTTGGTGAATGGGGATAGGACTAAAACATTCCAAATTAGTAAGGGAGTAAGGCAAGGTTGTCCCCTATCCCCTTTATTGTTCATTCTGGCCCTAGAAGTTCTTCTAAGGAAAATTAGATTTAACGATGAAATAAAAGGATTGCAGATCAGAAAGGAGATTTACAAGACGCAAGCATTTGCGGATGATGTAGCCCTAATCCTTGAAGACCCTATAGAATCGGGACCTAAAGTATTGGAGGAATTAAGTAAATATGGAGAGGTGGCAGGCTTCATACTGAACAAAACCAAAACCAAAGTATTGATCAAGAACACAACTGAGAGCCAGAAAAACGAGATAGAAGAAGTACTAGGATTACAGGTTGCCAAAAAAATTAAATACCTAGGAATTTGGATTACATCAAGATGTTCGACCTTGAAAGACGATAATTATATTCCCCTAATCAGGAAAATAAAACAAGACCTAGATTGCTGGAAAAAAATAAGACTATCACTTTTGGGCAAGATAGCCACAATTAAGATGAACATCCTCCCCAGAATATTATTTCTATTTCAAAATATACCCATAAATTTAGATAAAAAATTCTTTTTAGAACTAGACAAAATTATTAGCGAATTCATATGGGAGGGGAAAAAACCGAGATTTTCCATTAAAATTTTAAGGGGCAAAAGAGACATAGGTGGATTTGGACTCCCGGACTGGGAAACATACTACAGGTCAGCCAAGCTAGTATGGATAAAAGATTGGATCACCCTGGAAAATAAGAGAATTCTTACCTTAGAAGGCCATGACCTGCAAAAAGGCTGGCACGCCCACATCTGGGAAACGGAGAAGAAAAGGAAGACACATTTTCATAGACACAAAATTAGAGATTCCCTGATACAAACATGGACCCAGATTAGGCAAAAATATTACAAAAAAATCCCAAATTGGCTCTCAACGATGGAGGCCCTGACCCACCCAAATAGGTGGGAGAGGGAGAAAATGGGCAGATATAAAGATATCCTAGACGAAAGAGGGTGGCTTAAACCAAATGATATTTTACGAGAGCAAGGAATAACTTTAGATTGGTGGACTTATGCACAAGTAAAATCCAGATATCAGAAAGACAAAGAACAATATGGTTTAGAACTGGGATCAAACGGACTGGATAAAGTCTTGATGGGAACAAACAAAAAGATTCTGGCAAAATTATACAATTATATATTAAATGGTGACAAGTTCGAAGATGTCACGAAGAATCAAATAATTGCATGGGAGAAAAATATAGGGCGCAATATAAATTTTGGGGAATGGGAGGAGGCATGGAACAGAAATCTTAAATTGACTAGAGCGGTGACATATAAGGAAAACCATTACAAAATGTTTCATAGATGGTACTTAGCCCCGGCCAGACTAGCGAAGATATATCCCAATATACATCCCAATTGTTGGAAATGTGGCCACGGTCAAGGCACCTTCTTTCACATGTGGTGGACATGCCCGGAAGCAAAAGGATACTGGAATAAAATTAGGAGATGGTTATATGAAATAACTGATGAAGATATTGCATTAACACCAGAGATTTTCCTCCTGGGAATAATAAAGAAGCCATATAGAAAGGAAATGATGCATTTAATGATCCATATAATTACAGCCGCTAGATTGGCATACGCACAGTATTGGAAAGAGAAAATTCAACCACCAGAAGAGCTTACAATTAAGAAAATACTTGAGTGCGCAGAGATGTCTAAATTAACCTATGAATTAAATGATGAAAAGTCAGTTTACTATATGGTGTGGGAAAGGTGGTACAAGTGGTTGCATGATAGAATGAAAGAAAGATCTAAAGGTGTATTAAATAATGGTTAAAAGTGAGTTAAAATGTCACCAAGTATTATTTATGGAAATAGTTAAAACACTGCACATCCGATACAAATTGAAAAGCTATATTATGTATATGTTGTTTCATGTTATTGTTTGAATGTTTGTTTGTTTTTTCCTCTTATTTTTCTTTTGTTTTTGTCCTTTGTTTTTTGTTTGTTTTTTTTAAAAGAAAATCTCAATAAAGTTTAATTAAAAAAAAAAAAAATAATACTTCAATAACTTTGAAGTCACTGGAGGATCTCTAAACTAAGAAATAAAATCTGAAGTGGGAGGTGGACATTGGTAAAACATGTTCTCTTCCCCCCCTCCCCCCCAAAGTTATTTGTCTGGGATACACTCTGCTTTGTAATGAAATGATTTGATGGGGTTTTGATTAATCTTATATGGGCTTATTTCTTCGCAGACCAACTCCTATGTATCCACCAACATACCTGGAACCAGGGATTGGGTAAGATACCATATAAAGTTTGTGTGTCTCCTTGTTCAACTTAATGCCCTCCAAATGTGTTGGTCCTGCTGGAGAGGGGAGATGAAATTGAAAAAGCTTCTTATAATACTAGCCAGAGTACAGCTAAATCAGAATATTTCAAGTGTGATTAAAATGATTTCTTGATTATTATTATTTTCTTATTTATAAGAAGTAAATACAAATAATATCTTATTTATTTATTGCTTTTTAATTAATAACAAAAAGAAAAAAGCAAAACACAAAGATAATAATGATGGGGAAACATATATTGTCAAAGAGAAGGAAAAAAGGAAAAAAGTGCTTTAACAAAAGTGAAAGAAATATGACAAAGGAAACATAATATGATATGGTTTTACAACAAGAAACAGTTATAATTCTATATATACTAGTCTAATGCAAATATTCAAGTATGTATATATTACATTTGAACAATTACCGGTATCTTATTCTATACTGTATTCTGTATAAATGACATTGGGCTATATCTGATAGATAATACTTAAAAAATTATCTTCATTTATTAGATGAAGTTAATATACCCACTTCCATTCAATTTTTTATATCACCATCTTTCTCCAATTTTTAAAGTTAGGTTTTTCCAAAAAGTCAATTTGCCAGGCTATTAAAATTCCATAACTTTTTAACTGATGTAATTGCTTCCAGAGATACACTGCAAGCAGTTGTAAATGTAAGCCAATTGCCAAGTGCCTGAATTGCAGTCATATGACCATGGGGTAGTGCAGTAGTTATAACTTCTAGAACAGATCATAGGTAACTTTTTTCAAGCTCGTGATAACTTCAAATGGTCATTAAGCAAACTGTCCTAAGTCAAAGACTACCTGTAATTTTCTGCATTTTCTATAAAGATGTTCTCAGAATTGCAGAACCCCAGAAAAATTGTTTAGAAATTTTCTAAGCAATTTATCTTCTGAAAATATTTTATATATATATATGTGTGTGTGTGTGTGTGTGTGTGTGATTTCTTAATCTTTATAATCAGGATAGAAGAATTTAGAATTTCCCATTCTAGAAACAAAGTAATCAAGTCCTATGAATATTAAAAAGTCAGCCTTTTCCATGTTGTAGTAGTGATTTGCACTCATGAGATAATGCACTTGTGTACAGAGTCCTGTTTAGAAGTTTGTAGAGCCTACAAACATGTTTAGTGAGAGCCCTGACCTGTCCATATCAATAGCTAATGCAGCTTCTGCTGTACTGCCTTAGTTCATTTAGAAATGTCTTAGGTAATTCTCTCTTAACTGCCCTGTTTAGCATCGTTCAAAGTTATGTTGCTGCTGAAAAAGTAACTTTACAACTTGTCCTTGCAGTATGACTGTTGCTGCAACAACTTTGTGATCATGTGATTTGAGATTCAGGCACATCACAACCAGCAAACATTTGTGACAGTCATAGTGTCCTGCAGTCATATGATTGCCATTTTGCAGAATCAATGAAACCAATGCAGAAGTCAGCAATAAAATTGCAAATTATAATCACACGATGTTTCGCTTAATTACTGTGGGTGATTCACTTAATAACCACAGCAGAAATGTGTTTATAAGTCCATTCTCGTCACGTGATGTCTTGCTTAATGATTGTTGCTTAGCATCAGAATTGCCAGTCCCAGTTGTAGCTGTTAAGTGAGGACTGCCTGTAGTCATCCTTTCGACTCTACTAGAACAATATAAAGTTTTTTTTGACCGGTGTCATGGATTTCTAGCCCCTTTGGCGTCATTTCATAAGGTTCAATACTGAGAGAATAAACAACTTCTTCTGGATGGACATAAATTATGCTATTTTTCCTCAGTAGACTATAGGAGATGTATACAGTAAGTTCACTGCAATTATTTCTCATGTTGGGTGAATCTCTCTTTCAGAGCAAACTCTAAGGGCAGCAAACTGAAGCTTCATCATCTAAGTGTTTCATTATGTCCCAGAATTCATTGGGTGATTCCTTTGCCTCTTCTAAGAGACAGGCAAAACCTCCCTACCCCTACTTTTGCTGTGCCATTATTGGAGACCAATGAAACTTCCCATTAAGGACTCAAAGATTTCTAAAAGTGCTGTTCCAAGCATGAACAAAAAAAAGTGGGATAAAGGCTTGTTGCTCTCTAATTCTGGGTTTGGTGGCATCAAATCTGCAAAAAGAATTGCTCTCAATCTGCTGATCTTTTTTAACCAGACCATTATGCTTCCGGAGCATCCTCTGATATCTCTTTCTACTTTGTTACTCAATGCACAAGTTGAAGCTCTTTGGTTAGAAGACTTCTGTTTCTATACTGGTACGATTACACATCTCTTGGCCTTGAGACTTAGTAGTTTTCTCAGACAGTAGACCACCTGATATACAAATTGGTTCAAAATACGATTGTTTCATCAGTCCTTATTCTGATGCTTCTGTCTTATTGATGGAACTCCTGGTCTAAGCTAGCCAGTATTTGCTTTCTTATCTAATTGCAACTTTTTCAACCAGAAGCAATTTGTTTTGCCAAGCAGAAACTGAACACTCTTACTACAGTTATCTTTCCTTACTTTGCATTATCATGCCTGCTGCTGTTCCATTAGTCTCTCACTGGAGACTAAGATTAGAACTGAAGACCATCCATTTGATGGGAAATTGTCTATTCAGCAATAAGACTAATCCTGGATAGGGTCCAAAATGTTTCATTTAGCAACTGCAAGCTGTCTATAGCAACCATTTTTCATTTCTGTTCATTATCTTTTATAGTTCTTATTTTGTCTAAAGATAATTTGATTAAATAGTAAAAAGTAGTAGATAATAAGTAGTTATGATCAGTCCCTCTTGTCAGATACTGGAACTGTCAGTTTCACTATTTTTCAAATAATGTGAGTTCTGTAACTGTTAATATATGTTTTTCAAAGTTACAATTCTGAGCTTTCATCCAGCTCAACACCAAACTGCCCTCCTGATTCCAGAACAACTGGAATGGATATAGAAATAGAATAACTGAGTTGGAAGGGACCTTCGAGATCTTCTAGTCCAACCCCCTGCTTAGGCAGGAAACCTATACCACTTCAGACAAATAAATGGTGTCAGAAGTTTCATGCAAAAATAAACATTTGGAAATACTTCTCCAAAGGAAAATAATTCCACACTCATGTCCAACTATTTTACATTGCTAAGAAGGATAGTGGACTTAGACTTCTTGTTTGAGGTATTCTTTATTTTAGAATATTTATCACACCGCTCCTTCTACAAAGTGAAACATGACCTGTTTTTATAGACTGCGGAATGCTTATTTTCATGTTTTTGTAGTGTACTTACTATTGTTTTAATTTACTACGATTTTGTAGTACATGAAATCTGTGAGTAAAATAATATTCTATCGTTTGCCCTTTTATGGCCCTGAAAATATTTTCTAAATTGATGGAGTTATCTTTTCTTTTTATCTGCAAGTCATTAGTCCATTCTCTTAAGTAGATGGCTGTTACATACTCCTGTGCAAAGTTATCCTGCCAAGCGCTTCTCCTTTTCATCCTCTTGGTCTTCAGATCAGTTATGAAAAAAGTATCCTTCTTCCCTCGTAGTTTATTCAATTTACAGGGGCAATGATTATGCTGTCAGAGAAATTGCCTTGATATCATTACCATGGCTCTGTATGTTTCAAGCATGTATGCATAAGATCCTTTCTTTAGCAAAAAAGAGCCCACATTATTCCTCAGCTCTTCACATGGCAGCTTGCATTCTTCACATGACAACTAACTTCAGTGTTTTGTTCTGCAACCTACATAAGTGCTCCCCTGGAGCTGTGGTAACTCCATTAAATTTCCCTGAATATGAATGTAGGATAACTCTTGCTCCCCATTCCACCCTGGAATATGGCTGTTTTCTTTTGACTGTAGCTGTGGCATTAGCTCATCAGGCTAAAAAATTGCACCCTACAAAGAAACTCCCTTCTTCATTTTTTCGTAGAGTGAATATTGCCTAGATATTTCTTGCTGCCAAAACAGTTTCTGTTTTTCGCTTTGACATAATTATGCCTCCTTTTCCCCCACTAGGAACATTGCTCCATTCATTGGATGTCTGTTACACCTTTTAGCTGGACTTTATGGCACCCTTCTGCCAATTCAATACTTATTCTTGGCCTTCTAAGGGCTTTTAAATTCTTTTAAAATTTAAATTTAAATTTTAATTTGTTTTAAATTTATTGGGATTTTAATTGTCGTGGGCCAAATTATTTAATTTGTTTTTAAATTGTTTTTAACTTTTGTATTTCTGTATTTTATCCTGTGCCTGTTCACCGCCCTGAGTCCTTCGGGAGTAGGGCGGTATACAAATTTAATAAAACCTAAAATGTAAACCTTTCTAAAAGTTTGTAGGCTTTTTGCTCAAATGGGTGGTCGTAACCATCAAGGATTATTATGAGCTGCCATGCAAGAGCAGAAACCTTCCTCTGAGACAGGAAAGCTGTGTATCATTTGCCATTAATAGATGTCTCAGAGCTTTGCTGGGCAGGTGTATAGTCTCAAGCTTCCTCCCTTATTATAGAGTGGACTTTTGCTTCTAAAAGGATGCAATCTTTATGGAGTTCTCCTCTGGTCATCTTAGTGGGACAAACCATACTCCTAGTAAGAAGCTTGCTAATCAGCAATCTTTCTGAATCTTAAGGACTATGATGAAGAAGAATGGGTACTTATTTGTGATTGTATTTCTTTGATTGGTCAACTATTAATTCATCCAGTATGTCCTTTTACCTTGTTAACTCTGAGGTGATTTGGCTGTTTCTTTATCCCACTGTATTATTGTTAGGAACGGAAGGGGTTCAGTGTAGTCCCTCTAAATGTTTCTGTAAACTCTTGAAGGTCCTGTGAAGGTGCGCAACCTAAGTGAGTGAATTCATCGATGACCTCTGACAAAACTGCTCTTACAGATAAATAAGTAGTTTATTTCCTGTTCCATCTGCCTAATAATTTTTTTTTATTTTTCAGCAGAGCTACACATAAGAACCACTTAAAAGTTGTATTTAATTTTTAAAATTCAAATAAAATAAAACATTTCATAAAAATATGGTTTGAGATTACAATAGCATTTATGTCTCATCAAATAATAAAACATTTTGCACACTCAGGTTTCTTGGATAAATGGCTTTTTTTGTTAGATAATTGCTATGGTTGTTTGACAGGAGACACACACCATATGGAAACCAGACTGACTACAGAATATTTGAACTCAATAAGCGGCTTCAAAACTGGACAGAGGTATGTTACTGTGGCTTCTGGATGACTGAATTAGAAGAAAAGGAACAGCTTTGGAGGGATATAGTACATATAGCTGTTAACGATTACACAAGAGAAGAAAGGACTATGGCTGTTAATCAGTCCTTGGTTTTTATTTAACTTTTGAGAGCTGATTTTACTTATTTTAATTCTTTTCTGTATCATTTGCCATTAATAGATGTCTCAAAACAATTTATAATTTAAAATTACATTAATAATTAAAACAACAAGTAAAATTAATGAGCATGTATGTTAAATGTTTTATAAAAACACATTAGAAAAATATAAAATAAACTCAGCAAAATATATGACAAAACAATAGTAGAAACAAAATTAAGCAATAAAAAAATGACAGCCAAACTAAGAATGAGTAAAAGTCCTGAGAGAATAAAAATATTTTTGCCTATCACTGAAGAGGTAAATAAGGATGGCGTCATGAATATCTCACTAGAGGAAGACATTTCAAAGTTTAAGGGTCACCATTGGAAAGAGCCCCTCCCAATTAATTACTTGATGTACCTCAATGAGAAGGCATTTGGAGCAGATATCATTTTAAGGTACTGGTAAGAAAATATGGAAAGACGCCTCTTTCACATAGTGTTACTTCAAACTGCAAAACCCTTTATAAGATAAAACCTACACTTCGACTTGAAACTGGAAGCAGATTGGAAACCAGCTTTGAATGTTTATATTACCAAATTCCAGTCAGTACTCATGTCTCAACATTTTGTATTAATTGAAATGTCTAAACAGTTTCCAAGGGCATTGCAGTAATCTAAAGAAGACATCACTGGCAGATGGATCACTGTACTGAAGCTAGCTGTATCCAATAGCATAAGTAGAGGACCAACTAAATTGGTAAAAAATAATCTTGGCTGCAGTGGCCACTTGCTCCTGAAGCAACAAGGATAGATCCAGAAGTACTCCCAAACTCTGAATTTAATAATTTATGTGGAATGTTCCCCTATATGGAACAGGTTGAATTCCACTCACTTGGACAGATACGCCATTCATTAATAGCACGTCTGTCTTGTGTTTGCTCTTCTCTGTGTCTACAGGAATGTGACAATCTCTGGTGGGATGCCTTCACCACTGAGTTTTTTGAGGATGATGCCATGTTAACAATCACCTTCTGTCTGGAAGATGGACCAAAGAGATACAGTGAGTCACATAGAGTTTCATGCCTGTTCGATATATACTATTGTCTTACTTCATAAATCTTTCATGTATAAAGCCACAGATGCAAATAGTTATCTGCTTATCCACCTCCTGGAGTAAATCCTAAGGGAACAGCTTCCATTGTCTTTATGACCTTGGGAACTAGTACACATTTGCTGTAGCTGCCTCAGATGCCTCTTTGTCTTCATAGTCCATCACAAAAAGGAATATTCAGAAGAATTCTGAACATTAAATTCAGAAATTAAGAAAGTTGGTTTTAGACTAGATTAAGGGACACGGTATCTGGCGGTAAAGACACTGGGCTTTTTCACTGGAAGGCTGGCAGTCCAAGACACAAGCATCTTGCAAAAGCATGCAAATGCAAGTAGATAAAATAGATACTACTTTAATGGGAAGGTAACAGCATTCTGTGTACCTTGCTGACCACATGACCGCGAAAGTGTCTTCGGATAACATTCCCAGCGATCATTTAGCATTTATCATCTTGTATAAGAGTTGTACTCCCCATTGGATATTTTTTGAAATTCCCAGCTAGAATATATTACCTTTGGGTTGACAAACGATTTTCAGGAATGATTTATATTGAAAATTTCTTGTTCCACCTACTTATTATATTTTTGTTATTCTAGGGAGATTTGTATTTTACATTAAAATTATGTATCACTAATCACAATACTGCTGGAAGTCCACTTTATGTAATGCTTCACATTTTTTCCTTTGCTCTCCACTTTTAAAAATCAGTATCTGATAAGATTTTCCTTTGGTGTTTCTTCCAAAATGTTAGAAGTTACATTAAAAGGATGCTTAGGGTGTTTGGAAAACCCATTAAATATATCAGCAAATGGATATTGTTCCTATTTCAGAATATTAAACTTTGAATAAAATATTACTAACACATTGACAGTTTTCTGGACTCAGGAGTCATGCATGCATTGACTCCTTCCACTTGTCATGTTCTAGAAAGTAGATGAATTATTTTAAGATGGAAAAATAAATTATATCTGTTTAGAACAATGTAAAGCTGCTGTTGTGTTACTGTGGGAAAATAAAGTTCTTTTTGAGATAGTCCTGTGCTACTACCCATACTTTTTAAATTAGAGGAATCTAAAAGAAATATAATTAAGATGGGTAAGGGATCTTGGCAGCATCAAGGAATGATCAACAAAAACATTATTGCTTATGAGCAGTACATTCAGGACTTGGGTCTTGGCCTGTTGTCAGTTCCATTCATTGTTCATAATCTCCAAAAAATGCTTTTGCCAATGCTAGTCATGAGTGTATACTACAAAGAATGACAAGTAATTTGATTTTTATCATCCTTTTCTTCCTGATGTCTAGCAATCGGCCGTACCCTAATTCCTCGCTACTTCCGCAGTATCTTTGAGGGGGGTGCTACTGAGCTGTATTATGTTCTGAAGCACCCAAAGGAATCCTTCCATAACAACTTTGTTTCACTTGATTGTGATCAATGTACTATGGTCACTCAGCATGGCAAGCCCATGTTCACCCAGGTGAGAGTGCAATGGTGTTTCCCCAGCCCCAGGGGAACTTGTGTATAATTACAGTCTTCACGTATTCTTCACGTATTCTTGTAAAGAGATCTTCTGCTTGGGAAGAGTTGGTAGCTACAAATAGAATTAGAACAAAATTATATCACAGTGTATTTTTAAATATATTTTTATTCTAAAAAAATAAATAAAAATGCAATTGCATATAGCACATGTTTAAATTTAATTTTAATTCAGCTCTGTTTAGAAATGGGATAGGCAGGTATAGCAATTTTTTTAAAGTAGAAAAATAGAGCCTGGAAATTACATTTTAAAAACCAAGTGCTGCAAAAGAAGGAATGGATGGATTTATATTCTTTGCAGTCATTCTTTGCAGAGAGCTAACAACCAGATGACCCCAAACAATGTAACTCCTCCTGTTCCCCACCATTCAATTAGAACTAAAGAAGCTCTTCCATGAGAAGCAAAATGTTTTCAAGGAAAAAACCAAGAAAACCCAGTTGCCTTTTGGAAAAGCACCTTTGGGACAACCAACTTCTGCCTAATATTCGCTGAGGCAAAGCAAATTTTGTCATTGTTATGTTACCCTCATTTTAAGAGAACAGGAAATTAATTTCATATCAATTAGTGAAATTGTCGTATTGATTAATGAGAAAAGGACATTCAAGCTCATTATAATATAATGATGGGCTCATTACATCTGCCCATCCCACCACATTCAGCAGATAGGGCCTGCTGAGGTTATTTCATTTGGTAGATCTTAGGCAGCAGGCCTTTTTCTGCTATCAGTTTTTATTGACAGACCAGGAATTTCTTATTTGTAAAATTTCTAAAAGGGCAAAATAAAATTTTGTTATTCATTTATTTGGTCCAGATGCAATTGCTCTTTAATGGTTAGAGATTTTGGAGAATTTTTTAAGGCTTCTAAACCAGTAATCCTCCTTTATAGAAAGCTGAAGAACGTTAAATTAATGTTAGTTATTTATATAACCTTTGAAATTATTTATTTATTCATTAAACATATTTATATAGCTCCCACCTCACAATTAAGTGATTCTGGGTAGCATACAACAAAATTAAAAACAAAATCTACAAAATTAATATTACTAATAATATGAATGCAAATATAAAAAGCCACTGAGCTAAAAACAGAATAAAAAAGCGATTAGGTGCAGGGGAGGTATTAATTAATCAGTGGTCATCTCAATATTTCACCAGTCCCTAGAGGTCACCAGGCTTGTTGGCCCAACTTAAACCTGAGGAACCTCAAGCTACAAAACATGAGGCCAGATTTACTTTGGAAAGGAATTTTTCTGTTAGATAAAGCAATAATTCTTTTAGGAATGTAGTTTGAAATTATAATGGTTTCTATAGCTCATGTTTTAATTTTAGATACCAAAGAATGAGAAATCAGGAAATAATCTAACAGAAGGCAGTTATAAGAAAAGAAAAGTATATGCCTGCTGGGAAAGACTAATAGAATGTCAGATATTCACTAAATGAATTTCAGATGTGGTCTAATAAAATAGTATAACTCTGGGGATATAATTTGAGTAGTGGGATGCTATAATCTAAAAAGCGATCCAGAATTTGATTCAATTATATGGCTCATAGACTTTATATACAAGCGTTAAAATAGTTACTTAGAGAATACTCACTTGAATCTCATAGCCCTTTGCATTCTGCTTGTCCAGGTATCTGTGGAGGGCCGCCTCTACTTGGAATTCATGTTTGATGACATGATGAGGATAAAGACATGGCACTTCAGTGTCCGGCAGCATCGGGAACTTATTCCCCGTAGCATCCTTGCTATGCATGTAAGTTCAGAGGTTAGTAATAGCCTCTGTTTAGACTGGGTTTAAATATTTCTGAGAGTGAGTCTTGACAAGTTGTTTCGCTTGCTTTGTGCCTATTCATTGTGTTGAGGGTTTTTCTGTTGCACCATTATTTTTTGAAAATTTCAAGCTTCAATTTTTATTTTGGTGTCCAAATATACTGTATCATTTTAAAAGATTAACCTTCCAGTGCTCCAATGTACACTTTATGTGTTGAGGCAACATATTTTTGTTTATTCATTTTTCATTTCTGCTTCTAACATTCTCTCTCCAGGCTCAAGATCCCCAAATGTTGGACCAGTTGTCCAAAAATATTACTCGATGTGGACTTTCAAACTCCACACTCAACTACCTCCGAGTAAGTACTTTTCTTCAGCACCTATGAAACTAAGAATTACATTCCATGGTATTTCCTCCTTCGGACAGTAACAGAATTAAAAATGTCATTTGGACAATAATGTTTTTCTATATTTTACACTACTTTAAAAGCTATTGTAAGGAGTTTTTTTGGTTGACTGTTTTATGTTTGTGAGAATATACATGCTTCTATGGTTTAGATGATTATTGGCAGATAATGTATATATAAAACACAATCATATTCTCACTAGTTACATGTTTAGAGTAGTGGCAGTATTGAAATCTATTAGGCACTTTTTCTATATTACTATGATAGAATAAAGGGGTGTAAATTCACTAGTGATGTACTAGAAAACGGAAAATATGCTTTGCTTCAAATCTGAACAAACAGATCTGGAAGTTCTACCAAACCATTTTGGATGAACCATGACTGGTGAAAACAAAGTCTGCAGGAATCTCCGAGTGGTTGTACAGGGCAACTAGGGTAAAGCTAGTATACACAAAATCAGAGGAATCATAGGGTCTGAAATGACTTTGGAGGCCTTGCAGTTCAACTTCCTACCCAGAGCAGGAATCCTCAAATCATCCCAGCTAAATAGCTGTCCAACTTTGTTTGAAAATCTCAGTATCTCAGACTATTATCTGAGCTACAAAGGATGCCCGTTTGCTTCCGGATACAATTCAAGGTGCTGATTATTCCCTCTAAAGCCCTTCATGTCATGGGACAGCACCTACTTAGACAGGAGGGTATCTTACAAACACAATTGAGTAAAGAATTTGATTGGCGGGGTCTAGGAAGAGAGACTTCCCTGTCATTGACCCTGCCATATGGAGTATCATGCCCCAGAGGAGATGTGGGTGCCCACTCTTATAGACTCCAGAAGATCATTAAGATTACTAGAATATAGAGGACCGCCCCCCCCCCCCGCCCACAGCCACTCTGTCTTACCAAGGCCAGTTGTTTCCATCCAGACCTCCAAAATCTCCAGGCACTGCGAAAGGGCATCCAAGGCATGACCCAGGACATGACTGTACAATTGGGTATCATCTGCATACTGATGATAGTACAGTCTATGGTGACAGATAAACTCACCCATGGCTTTGTGTAGATATTAAAAAGGAGCGGAGAGAGCACCGAGTCCTGCAACACCCTAGGTGTTGTGGGCTGAACCTCACTCTTGACCAACACTGTTTGGCATTGGCCTCAGAGAAAGGTGAATGTTCTTTATTTTTTAACAATAATTCTTTATTGATGCACTTCATTATTCTTTATTGTACGTCCCAGATATCAGGCACTAAGAAATTGTTTGTTTTGTCAGAATGTCTGTGTCCATATCTGGCCAGGTTCAGATCAATGTCTAGAAATCTATCTATGACTCCAGGAGGATTCCATCTGGGATTGTCCTCTACTACAGAATTTCTCTCTCCTCTTCTTCCTACCAGCTGTGCGTAATCCTAGAACCAATGCAGGAGTTGATGTCTCGACACAAGACCTACAGTCTCAGTCCTCGGGATTGCCTCAAGACGTGCTTATTCCAGAAGTGGCAACGTATGGTGGCGCCACCTGGTGAGACTTTAGAGCGGTAGGGAAGAATATCCTGTGCACTGACCAATAAATCAGATGTATTTCCTATCAAGCCCACCTGAGGGCAGCAGGGCATTGGCTTCCTGCAGATGGAATGCCTCAGCGCTTTGATGAGTGCTATCCTGTGCTAAAATCCTATCTCTGAAACTATAGCACAAGATGTAAAAATGAAAGTGGAAGTTAGTGTGGAAATATAGATATGCTATAAAGTTTGAATCAGATGGAATATAAATTTATGAATAAATAATGGGAAGTATTCATTTATTCAAGCCTTGCTTGGAACATGCAAATTTACAATTTGACTGTGTTGAAACAATTGGGAACATTAGATTCTTTTTACTAAAGGCAAGATATCTCACCAAATTTTATTTCACAAACACTTTCATAGCTGAACCTGCACGTCAGCAGCCTAGTAAGCGCCGGAAAAGGAAGATGTCTGGAGGTAGCACCATGAGTTCTGGCGGAGGCAATACCAACAATAGCAACAGCAAAAAGAAGAGCCCAGCCAGCACCTTTGCCCTCTCCAGTCAGGTACCTGTAAGCATCCCCTTTTCATTTTTTCTTTTCCTTTTAACCTGAGAATTCCTTGGCCTGGGGCCATGTTTCATGCAGCCGAAGCACTTCCCCAAAGGATGGGTGATGCTTCCTATAACAAACCTGATAGAATTCAGGCTTCTAGGGGTCCTCCTAGAACTCAGGGAAACACCCTAAGAGTTAAGGATCACGTCTGAGCATGTAAGCCAGACATAATTGATCTCTCAAAGTCCTTTTATCCAGAAATCCATTCCCGATTTTCCCTCAGATGTTCTTTTTCAGCAACCTGGTTTAGAAAGGGAAAGCAGCTTAGTTGTTGCTGTTAAATGAATATCAGGAATCCTTGCTAATCTATTGTAGATGTCCCAGAGATATTTATCTTGATTATGCCCATCCTGTCTGACAAGGTAAAAAAGATTAATGTAATCCTTTAATGTAGCTGTTCATTTAAAGGCTCTCTGTAGACCCTGTTAGGGCCAGAGTCTCATTTTTGTGTGTGAGTAGGAAGATATTCAGATATTATAGATTACAATAGGTCTTGAACCATTCAGGAGAGAATTGAGAGGAGACTTTGATTCTCCAATATCCCAGGGCATCCATTGATTTATCAGATGCTGTCTGTGCCCAGATACAATAGAAACAGATAGCAGCATTGTTCTAAGTCCAGAGAGGGACAATGTTGGAAGGGAATATTGAAACCTTCCCAAATAAAGTGCCTTCTAGAAGTTCTGTGCCACTTCTAGTTGTTGAGTCTCAACACATCTGGAAGGTGCCAGATTCGGGAAGGGTGAGTAAAGGCTGAGGCTAATTTTGATTCCTCATTCTAGGAGGGTAGGGGGAGAGGTCCTTGCTGTTGTGACAGCTGGCTCCCTTGAACATTGTGATATGGGTCAGGGCAGTCTCCACCTCGATTATGTTTCGGGACCCTCTTCCCTCCTCAGGATGTGATGGTGGTGGGCGAGCCAACCCTGATGGGTGGGGAGTTTGGCGACGAAGATGAGCGCCTTATCACTCGACTGGAGAACACACAGTTTGACGCTGCCAATGGCATTGATGATGAGGACAGCTTCAACAACTCTCCCGCATTGGGTGCCAACAGTCCCTGGAACAGCAAGCCCCCTTCCAGTCAGGAGAGCAAGTCTGAGAATCCAACGTCGCAAGCATCACAATAAAGCCCCCGAAACAGTGCCCAGCCGGGCCTATATTTGACTTGGCTGGTGTCCCATGGACTGAGTCGAAACCATTCTACCTGGACAATTGTGAAGAAGAGTGGCTGGCCAACAAGGTATCAAGGCCTATGAGCACTGCAGCGCCTGCCTGCCTACAGTTAACCTGGCCACGATTCCCTGCTGTCTGCACTCTTGGCTGTCCCCTTTAGGGCAGAATTGGAACAGTGGGCTTTTAGTCCCAACAGAATTTTAATTCCTTCTCCTTCCCTGTCCATGCATCCAGTGCCCTGGATACCACAAGCAACACTGTTAGGGAGTGGTATTCATAGCAGTCCCTTAGAGCCTCAAAGCTTTGGTGGATCAGCATGAAGTACCTTGGGAGGCCACAGGACTGAGTACTTAAGATGGGCAGGAAAAATCTGGTCTAAGGTCCCTTTTATCATTCAGTTTTCTATAAGGGACACCAAGAAGGTTCCATTTTAGCAGGAGAGTCTTAAGAGTCTTGTGGACGATGTCATGACTCACATAATGACTCACACTGGGGCAGCTATGATTTTTGTGGGTTGAATTTTAAGCAGTTCATCTTGACTGACTTAGAGATGGCAGAGCAGTAATTCTCTTTTGCCTGAAGATCCCAGAAAGCCAGTATGGCAGGAGATTATGTGGAGTTTTAAATTTTCTGGAATGCATTAGAAAAATATTCTGCAGTTACCTGGAAGGGCACTTGCCCTTTTTGTCACATCTTTAGGCATGGGCTGTTTTGCCCCAACCTGCTCTTAAAGGAATTTGCAGTCCTCATACATACCCTGCCCTCAGTATTTTGGGCTTTTTTAAAGAAATAAAATAAAATTGTAAGTTTAAAAAAAATCTGCCCACCCTCCCTATTTCCCCCAATCCTGATTTTTGTACAGGCTTGTCTACTAATTGGGAGTCTTAGTTTTTGTATACAGTTCTGAGAGCTTCAAACCAAGGAGAGACTTTGCAAACTTCCTTTATACACTCCTTTGAGGACAGCATGGCTGCCCCCACTCCCCCCCTTGTGTAATTTGTGTGTGCTGCTGTTCCTGCTCCACCCTCTTCTACCATATCCCTCCCCTTTTCAAATTTGTGTACCTCGTGCTTGTATATTTCTGCGCTGTATGCTGTGTGTATGATGCTGTTCTTTCACTGTGTTCTCACTAAGGCTGCCACTCCCATTACCATTGGAAGTGGGGGAGGAGTTGATTGTGATGGGTGTCCTTCTTGGGAGGCAGGAGAGTTCAGAAGGTACTGTCACCAATTTACAGCAGTGCAGAACCACAGGAATGGGGCTGTGGCATCTGGGGAAGCAATATATCCACGTTTTGCAAAGAGAATATAATTGTTTCTTCTCTTTATGGAACGGTCTCTAGGAAACCATTGCCCAGACAGACACATCCATTTTTATTTGAAATACTGGTACTAAATCCCCAAGGAAACAAACCCACCTACTTTCCTTTCTACCTTCCAATGCTCTTCCTTAAAGCCTAGGTTAATCCTGTACGTCTTGGAGAGAAAAGATGCTTTATTATGTCACAGAGGCCTCAAAGTTGCGAGTGAGGCATGGTTTTCCACTTTTGAGAGGAGTGCAAAGTATCTTTAAGATATTTTGGCCACCTCATGGCCTAGACCACGGGTGTCAAACTTGATCATGTTATGTGACGTGTCAGGAAGTATTGCGATGTTTTTTGCCTTTTGTGAAGCTCGGGTGGGCGCCAGTTTGACACCCCTGGCCTAGACTGATTGTCAGGGTGATTGCAAAGGCTGCGCTGTCATGGCACAATACTCTGTTAACTTACTTAGGGTATTTCTTCAAGAGGATTTCTATCTGCAAATATTTTTTCCCCTTTGCAGCATTATTGTCATCAGTTTGCCTAGAGCTGTTAGTTTTGACCATGTGAGAAGAATTTCCTTTCAAGTCATGCTCTGGAATCCTAGATATTCTCTACTCTGATGGAGCCCAGTTGGATGAACCTGAGATATATTCAGGGCGGTTTGGTCACTTTTTTATTACTGGGCCCAGGTCCTCCCCTGCGGGCAGGTAATTATAGCAGCCAGTAGTGTAATTTACAAGGGATTAGGGTTTTTTTTTTTTCTGTATCAGTTTCCTACTTCAAATAAGAGTGTCACGTTCTCTACTGCTGTGACTCAGCATGTAGTGATGACGTGTACTCTGTCAGCTCTCTCCACTTGTCCTTTTCCACTTCCCTGGGGCACTGTAAAGCTTTTTTTTTTTTTTTTGCATAGTTTGTGCCATTTATGGTCATGTATGGTACCAATAAAACAACTTTTCGGTTTGGTGCTCTCCTTCCAGTGTCATTTCTAATGTGGATCTTGAGAAAGGAGATATGTTCTTACGTGCAGGTTCTAGCCATCAGAATTCTATGATTTAGATTGAGGTAAACAGCTGATATGATGGAATTCAAGGGCTAACACTTGTTCTCTGCTGCCAGCATCTCCCAGTTTTAAATGTGGTCCTTGTTTCCCAGTTCCCTTTCCATTTCTAAATAACTGTGTGCTGAGCACATCTAAAGATAACAGAAAAGTTTCTGGAGCTGAAGAACAAGTGTTCTTGTGTAGAAAGGGGAAAGAAATATCACAGAGAAGCCTGAGCCATGCCCTTCCTACATTTGCAGGCAGCCAGGCAGTTTGCAATCCAAATACGGTTGCATTGTCAACTGTTTGATTAACAGAAAATAGGGCAAACAAATTTGATAGAAATCATGAATGTCTTGGAAAATGAGCTGGTTTGGTAGTTAAAACATTTTATCTCCAACAATGGAGTCCCTTTATTACTAATTCAATCTACAATCACCCGTGTCACATTGGGTAAGGGGTGGGGAGAAAAGCTAGCCATGTGCCTAGTATTGGCAATGCATGAAAAGAGATAGACTGATACCTGAAATATTTCTGCCTCACTAGCCAAGGGAACTTTAGCATTATATTAGCCTGCATCTTCCCTTCCTCCATTTTGTAAGATGTTAATACCTGTGTCTTTCAAAACTATTGTAATCTTATGCCATATTTCATTCTTGGAATCAAACTTTGCAACATTAAAGAGACACAAGGCTTTGGCTACTTTTTTGCTTCTCTCCATGTAAATTTTTTTAAAATGTGGGAAATATATTTTAGGAAACAATTAACAACTTCTGTATATAGACCTTTTATTACTTAAGCCCAATTGTGGGTTTATCCATCATAAACCCATATGATGGATTGGGTTCCATCATAAACTGTTAGACAGCAGAGGAACAAATCTGCTTCCAGGAACTTGACACATTTCATTTTAAACATTTAACTGATGGATCTACAGTCACATCCCAATAATTTTCCTACCAGAATGATTCTTGTGGAAAGAGAAAAAGCGTATCTCTACTATTCTGGTATGAGTTGGATTCTTGGCTTTCTGTTGTCTAGCTTCTGGTCCCATTAGTAAAAATGGTAGGCTTAGCAGGAGAAAAAGCTGTCATTGGTGGAGATCGTGTCCATATGGCTGAGGAGGCAAGGAGACTCAAAGTACTTTTATTTTTGTTATTAATTAAACTTGAATAATATAACAATAAGATTGATAACATGAAATGGAGTTAAAAAGGAATGCAAAGTAAGTTTTAAAATGTTAGTTCAAATTGTTCCTAGTAAGGTCTTGATGGACAACATTTGGTAATATTATAAGACAGTGCATCACTCTGATAATAGGTTTATGATGTAGTTTGCACTAAGATTGGCAATAAAGAAGAACATGGCTTGCTGTATAGAGGATACTACCATATTTCTAATAAAAGCATTTTATTTTTTCCAAAAGACAGAAGAACAAGATCAGTCATTAAACAAACAGAACTAAAAGAGTTTGGTTAAGAGGGTTAAGGCAGAATCAAGCCTTAAAGAATCAAGCCCTGCTCATGTTTTAAAGCAATATCAAAAACACATATTAGTCTGGGAAGTTACAACCAAAACAAAAACAAACCTCAGAAGAAAAGAAGGCCAACTCACTTCCATATTGAAGTAAATTTGTCTCTTAAGTTATCAGCAACTGTGTTTGACTAGGAGACTTAACTTTTTAAAGGATGTCTTTTGAAGCCAATGCTTTGCTCAAGGCACCCATTCCATCCTACAAAGCCCACAAATGCTAAAAGGGATGTGTGTGTCTAAAAAAATCCAGTCCCACCTATATTTTTGGTCCGTATCATATATGAATCCGCTCAACCAGTCTTCAGTACAGAAACATGGAAAATAGCCTTGCATTGTGAAGTGATCAGGTACTGTATATGATTTTTTTTTAGTTTTCATTATGCTATGTTGGTGACACATAAACCTGATATGGATTTTAAGGGGGAGCATTTTAATTGTGGACCATTTACATCACTAATAAACTATATGCTCATAATCTGCTTTATTACTGTATGGATAGACACACATCCTTTAAAATTACATTGAATTTTACTCCATTGTGCATTATATCAAACAAAAAATTATTTTGCTGTAATTAACTCATTGTTTCTTGTCCTGACTGCTGGAACAACTTTGAACATTTTTGCCCAATCTTTTCTAGTAACTCCAGATACTACTGTAAGAAAACTATTATGTCTCCTTGCAATGTTCTGCAAGTCAAACATATCCAGGGTCTCCAACTGTTCATCTTTTTATTTCCAGACTTCATCTTTGTGTCTTTCCTCTGAATATAACTCTAGTTTGTCGGTATCATCCTGAAATATGCCCCAAACTGGATTTTTGTTAATCTTAACATTATATTCTATTGATAAAGGGTAGGATTGTATTCACTCTTTCTCCAATTCCATCATCCTGTTGGTTCATGTTCAGCTTACGATCCACCATTTATTGGTATTTATTTTCTTCCCCTATGTCAGCCAAAAGTTGGTGCTAAAATGGCTTCCTGTCCTAGGATATCTTAATGAACACCGAGAAAGAAATTAAATAACAATTGGGATGTATTTTGAGTCATATATGTGTGGAAGAAATGACTCTTAAAAACGAGCATTTGCTGATAGTCTGTTGCGTAATACAAAAATGACAAATTTGTCACTTTCCTGTGACTATTACCAAGAAAAAAAATGTATCAACAGTCTTGTCCTAATAGTGCAGGCAGCTGGAGAATTATGTTTCCGTTTAATAAATTGATAAACTTAATTATGTTATAAAAATCTCTTTTTCTGTATTTAAGAATTCTAGAATACATGTATAATGGGGAGGAATAGAATGTGTTTTGTGTATTATAAACCCAACACCTTAATGTTTATGTAATATATTTCAATGCAATACTAGACAAAGTCACAATATCAAGGAATGGCTCCCAAAGACAGAATAAATTCCATATCAAAGCCAGAACACTGTGGCTCTACCCCCTTCCACCTGCTGATTGTAAACTTGCTTCCTACTTCTGTTCTCATGCATTGCTAATCTCTACAAAGGTGTTCCTGTCAGCCGCACCCATTGTAAAAATAAACAGTTTCCTGTAGAATAAGAACTTGTCCAAGAATTCCAAATCTAAGAATAGAAAATGGCACTTTCTTTTTCTTTTTTAAAAGTGTTGTAGCCATATGCAGGGATACAGTTTGTTTTACAAGTTGTTAATAACTCTTGAGTTCTGGTTGAGATAAGATAGTGAAGGTTGCATATCTACAATTAGGCATATCTACTTAAAAGGCTTTTAAAGGTTTTGGCAAAGATTAAAAATGGATCTCCACACCCACAAAATGAATGAGTTCACACATGTGCTTAAGCAAAGTAGGAAATCCAAGTGCTTCACTTTACCTCTTGAGGGGGAATTGATGAAACAATATTGGTACAGCCAGAGATGTCTAGTTTCTAAATTACAGCATCATAGAACTTACACTGTGTGTATATGTATCCCATCTATCTCGCCTTGCAATGGCAAGAAATCATACTGATTTTAGCAACTGTAGTTAGAAGTAACTCTGTCCATGGCAAAAATGAGAGTGGGGAGCCACAAATGGCTCTGGGGCCTCGGGTTACCCACCCTTATTCTAAACTGAATTTAGCTTAATATGAACCCAGTCGTGATTTATTCCACAGAACACAGGGTTCTTTCAAGGAACAGCATTAACATGCAGTCCTCCAGCAATTGAGTCATCAGAAAAGTATGGCTGGCATAAATTATTCTGCCCAGACTGCCAAGCCCTATTTATGTCTTCATAGTAAAACTGCTGAGTGACACTGTTCTTTCAGCTTGTAAGGTCATTTATGGATTCTCCAGCTTTGTTCCATTTCATGATGAGCATCACTTAGTAGGAATAACAACCACTCCACTCTCTAGTGGAATGGGGTTGGATGGCCAGGCAGGGTTCCTAGGGTGGAGGTTTAGCCACCTTGTAAGCTATCCAAGTGACTGGTCACAGGTCAGGTGGTGCTACATACCTAAGATCTGTAACTCAACCTGTTTCTGGGAAATGACCTACCAGTCTTGTAAAACTGCTAAATTTAGGTTCAAAATTATGGCTGGAGGAGGTATGTAGGGATGGTGCAGGAGGAAGCAATAAAGACGTGCTGGCAGTCAGTGACTATAGTCAGCAGCACTTTCAAACCCAGTTAGAAAGGGAAGAGAGAAACAGTCTTTAGATGAAAGACGCAATCATTTCTATGGAACTTTGATAGCAGAAGGTACTACCCTGTTTCCCCCAAAATAAGACATCCCTTGATAATAAGCCCAAGCGCTTATTTCAGGGTTCAAAAAAATATAAGACAGGGTCTTATTTTTGGGGAAACACGGTATCGTAAATAATAATCAGAAAGAACTGGTCTTTCCCACCTCCTTTGCCCTCCCATCCTTCGGGATAGCTCTGGTCTGTCCCACTTTCCTATGACTCTGATCCCACTGGAAGAATGTGGTAGATCTGGTCTTAGGAGCCAGGCATGTGGTCCATCTAGACTTTTAAATTAAAGGAATAGTTCTTTAGGCTGCATTAGGAAAACTACTTCTGAAAACTCACCAAGAAAACTGCAGGGACTTGTCCAGGCAGTCACCAGGAGTCAACATTGACTCAAAGACACCACAAAAAGAAAAACAAATCACAGCCAGTACAGAACCCAACATGTCTCTATTTTCTTACCTCTTCAATTTATATTTCTTTGAGCTAGTCTCCCTCTTGTAATTTTTGGATCTGAAGTTAGAAGATCTTAGCTCTGTCTTTAGTGCATTTTGTGATTCTTTGAAATCCATTCAAATACTGGAAAGAAATTTTGCAAAAATGTTCACCATTTTCTTTGTTTATCTGCAGGATCACTCTCCGAATCTTGTACAGAATACAAGATATATATTTAGTTTAAAAAGGGAACTGGCAAAAGAAAGAAAGATTGTGTTAGGACTTGAGCCAAATTGGGTCAGGGATTGTGGAAGTAAAATAAATCCCCAGGGAGGCAGCTGGGCAATGCCTCAACACCTATTCTTCCATTTGATGCCTCCCCCCTTCTCCTTCCTAATAATGTGAAAACAGAATTGAGCATATAACTCTAACATTGTATGATATGCACATATATGGAGTTGCAACACATTATTTTGTTAAAAAGAAAAATGTCTACTGGTGAAGAGATTTGGAAAAAACTCCAGAAGCCATGAGCTATAGTGCTTTTCCTAATGTATTTTAATTGTCTTGAGATCTTTGGATGGGCAGCAACATTTTTAGTGGGAGGGTCAATGGTGTAAATAATAGTTTACATTTGGTAAATTCTATCACAATACCAGATATTTCTTAACTGCCAATTTACTAGCAAGATTACGGTATTTTGCTCTGCTAAAAGACCACGGAGTCCAAATGAAACAGAGGTGGTGCTCCTCACCAACAGTTCGTCTCAGGTGGGCAGTGAATCTCCTCATCTACAGAAACCTCCCAACCACTGATGCTGAGCTTGGCATCGTACATTCTGTTATATTTATGTTTGTAAACAGTACAGTAGGTAAAGAGAAAGGTAAACCAATGGATATCAGGCAGATTTAGCAGCAAGCCTTTTAATATGAAAGTCTAGATCAGGGGTCAGCAACCTGCAGCTCTGGAGCCTCATGTGGTTCTTTCACTCCTCTGCTGCAGCTTCCTGTCACTCAAAAT